CGGCGCTCGCTCTCCCGCTCTGGCGCCTGCAGCGCCCTCTCCCGCCGCTCTGCTTCCCGCCGCGCCAGCTGCGCCTCCTCACTGCGCTGCCTCAGGGTCTGCCACTCTCGCCTTTGATGTTCTCCCTCCACAAACTCCTCCGCGTCGTGACCCTTGCGCCTCCACAGCTGTTCCTCTGCCCGGCGCTCTTCTAGTTCTTGCAGTTCTCGCCGTTGCAGCCGCTGCTCCTCGTCGTCTTGGGGCTGCCTGTCCTGCTGCTCAAATCTCTGTTTCTTTCTCTGGTCTTCCTCAGCGCTCTCCAGTTCCTGCCTCTTCTGCCAGCGTCGGCGACCAGGTTCTTCATCCACTTGTCTGTCCCGGGTCTCGAATTTCCTTTGGTCTTCTTGCCTTCGATCTTGTGACAGGTCCCCCTTTCTCTCACCCTGGACTCTCTTCTCCTCATCTAGCTCTGTGGCCTGGCCCAGAGCGTAATAACAAGCTTGAGCCACCTTGAAAACGAACAGGAGGAATTCATTGAAATCAACATGTCCGTTAGTGTCGCGATCCAGTAGTTCCAGGATCGTTTCTACGGTCTCAGGGTCATGTGGTCTCTATGAAAAGATAAAAACAAAAAATTTAAATATGTTAATTACAGGTAGTAGAATTTCACTCAGACACCTATGCTATCTATGCTAACACCGGAGACATTTAGAGCAATTAAAATGCTCAGTGTATATCAAGTCTTGTTTCCCTATGAAAAATATGAACATCTCATTTCAACGTGTATGTTTGTTGGAGATTAAAAAAAAGAATTTAGTGCTATCAAAAGCACACAAATTCTTGAAATTTGGAAGCGCATATAAATCCCTCCCACTCTAGCTTGATTCGACACTTTTGGTGGTAATGTTCCACAAACGGTTCACTTCCATTGATAGTGCCATTAGGTACATGAAATACTTGCTCTGAAGTTAATACTCGGTCTACAAAGCCAGTTAACTACCTTCAGATTTGGAAATGAGTGAAGGATGTATTGTAGACCTGTCATGGTACAAAATGAATATAAGCCACCATTTCTTTTCCTCGTCTTTCCTGAGAAGAAAATTCGTAGCCCTAAATTAGTGGAGAGATTTCCTTTTTTTTTTTTTTTTTTTTTTTTGTTCTTACTTGAAGGACAGTTCCAAATTCCCTTTCAAGGAGGTTCTTCAGGTCATTCTTGCTTAGTGCTGCACCATCACAATCATGTGAGGCATACTGATTGAAAATTTCAGTGATGTCAAAGATGCTTTTCAGAAGTGGAGACATTTTTTTCCTTTCTTGAAGTTCAGGTAAACCTAAAACAAAATAAGGCTCAGAATCAAAAGTCTTATCCTGCCTTTCAAAAGGCTTCATTCATATTGTGTTAGGCAGATCTCAAAGTAATTTCACTTGCTAGCAGTAGTTATTTTTAATCTGGATTTTCAGAGCATATTATCTTGGAACATTGTATTCAGGGGAAAGGGGAGAGAGAGAGAGAGAGAGAGAGAGAGAGAGAGAGAGAGAGAGATCCTGAGAGGTTCTAAGCCAGGAAATCATCTTCAGTCTATCCAATAGCCAGTTTTTCATTGTCTATCCAAATGAGATTATCTGTATCATTTCTTTTGCCCTAGAGCAGATAGCAAAGAGTGCAGGAAATTAAAGTTGACATATTGCTACCATAAGCAACCTCTACAATTAAACAAAGAGGACAGGCGAAGGCTTAAAATGAGGGAAGATGTTCTAAGCCAGGAAATCATCTTCAGTCTATCCAATAGCCAGTTTTTCATTGTCTATCCAAATGAGATTATCTGTATCATTTCTTTTGCCCTAGAGCAGATAGCAAAGAGTGCAGGAAATTAAAGTTGACATATTGCTACCATAAGCAACCTCTACAATTAAACAAAGAGGACAGGCGAAGGCTTAAAATGAGGGAAGATTTGAGGGTATATTAAAATGGATGCTGCCTTGTACAGTGAATCAGGCCAGCAAAATGTGTCGGCAAATAGAACTATGAAAAAGAGAATGTGAATTATTCCTCAACATTACAATGTACAAGAGATTTAGGAGTATAATTAATAAACTGTCAGTTCTAAAATTAAGTCCTACTTTGTTCTAGTCAAAGGTGGCCTTGTAACATTCAGATCCACCAATGTAGAAAACAGAGGGTGCATGTTACTTGCTTTAACCTTAACTCAGATTTAGGATGAACATTTACAACTTTAGTTATTGAAAGATTCTGATAGGTCTTTCCTGATTGGCTATTAGAGTCATTGGGTCAAATCTGAATCTAGAAAACTTTGAATGATATAGGTTTGCTTTTGTTAAACTCAAATAAACCACTTGAATCTTAGTATTAGGAAAAAATATGAATGAATAGATAATGCAGCTCCATAGTAGAGCACTTGCCTAGGATGCACAGGGCCCAACATTTGATCCCAGGATTGCAAAAACCACACTAAAACAAAAATCAACCAGCAGCAGATCAGTGTTAAAAGAGTACATGGATAGCTTTGCTGGCTGGTTGTGCATAGTGATTCATCTAGGTGACTTCTTTATCGGTATCTCCACTCCAATGCCTCAGGATGCCATAACTATATGAAAAGAGCCCATATTGGTGGATTAGGCATGCAAAGAGACCAGAAGGTTGGCAAACTTTTGAAATGGCAATTACTGGCAATATGAGACCCATCAGAGCCACACACGATCATCTCCTGGTGGGCAAAACTATTGAGTTAAGAGCCTGGAGAGAAAGGCTGTTTCTATTCAAGTGGTGGCTTCAGCCATACAAAGATGAGAAGAGTACATGAGAGCCAGCCATCAGTGTAAGACACTCATCCCTTCTGGCACATATAGCCCCCTTCTCCAACATCTCAATGGCGTAAAAAAATGAAGACTCATACAGAAGAACATGACCCCCACAGAATGCGACTTACCACTTCACCAGAGGAAGAAGTCAAGTGCTCGCTGACACTGCTGGCAAGTGTACTGGGTAACTGGGAGCTGGGCTTTTTATAGTGGTTTTAATTGTGCCCTGGAGAGCAACTTGGGGAGGAGACACCCACTCTTGTGGGATGGCCTGATTCATGCCATGCCCAGCTCCACCTCTGTCTCCACGAATGCCTTGTTTATCTCACTATTTGCTCACGTAGCTATTTGGCATGAGGTTCACAGACCTTGCCTCCTGACAGGGTAATGGCCTCACCTAATATGAGTGGCTAGAGTGTGTGGTAGGATCTCTAATTTTCTTTCATTGTTAAGATGAAATTAAACAATAAAAAGGGATTAAATATTCGTAACCCTAACTGATTATGACTTTATTACAAAAGAGTAACTTCCAAGCCATTTATACAAGATGACCATTCTAGGTGGGGCTTAAACATTCCTCGGAAATAAACGTAGGAAAACCAATCAGTTTCTCCATGGCGTGTGACTAGCCCAGGAGGAGCTGATTGGAAGCCCTGCCTGGAGCAATTCCCAAAGAGAGGGGTGAAGAAATTGTTAAGTTTCTCCAACAATGCAGGTGAGAACTAATTTTACATTTGTCTTCCTCGGTTTCATGATGAGTTTTCCTACAGATTGGGGGTTGCCTCCACAGAAAATGTTGGAGAGTATCTTAAAATGCGGTTTTGTTAAACTGAAGAAAACCTAAAAATTGTGAAATTTCATTCTTAGAGATATTAGATCTAAACGAAGCTCTCTCATTTCTTTTCCCATTAGCATATTGATGCTGGCGGAGAAAAAGAGCTAGTGTAATGCGTTATTGTAGATATAATCATCTGCTTAGCCTACGTTACTAATGATTATGACATCTAAACGCTTGAGTCTGCTTCTTCTGGAAGCACATTATGGTAATCGGCCATTCTTGCCCATTATAGCCATCTGGGCTTTCTTAATCCTCATTGTCATTTGTGACTCTCAGGGCTGATGTACGGTAAGGAACTAGATTTTATCCCCGATTGTCAGCAACCCCATTCTCACATTTCAGACGCTACGAAACTTTAGAAACTTCTTCATGAAAGGTTTATGGAGACAGTGAAGTGATCCAGTGACTTCTCTGCATTTCTGTCTCTTCTTTCCCCAACAGAGGGAAGTACTGGCTTTCTGAATTTGAGCAAAATTGAGGATCCTTGAGGACCATGTGAGATTATGGAGCCTAAATCTTATTATTCCTTTATGTGCAGCAGGGTACAGATGACAGTGAGACTGAATACTATTTGCGCCATCACTTGCTGCCACCCCAGATGTGGGGTTAAGAGGAAGGTGGGAGTAACTCTGGCTCACTTCTGGCTTTGGTCCTGAAGCCTGTGATTTAATTTTTCTGGAATGGTTACTACTTCTTGGGCTCAGTGAATCAATTTGCTGCAGCAGCTCCTTAGGAAGGGTGAAGACTTCTATTTTTCTCCCCTTTGGGGTTTTATGCAGCTCTCTGAAACACTGGGTGCTAGGTCAGAAGCATCGCGAGCGCTGTACTCACTGCAGCCTCAAGTCATCGTGGGATCTCCCTCATCTCTCTCTTTCTCTGTGTCTCTCCATCTCTGTCTGTCTGTCTGCACCAACCTTTGTTTCTGTATGCTCGTCAAGGGATTCCCTGGAGAAACCCTGCCTTATGTCAGTTCTCTTTTTATCCTCTTAGGTGTGATCTGTTGGGGAAACTTCAGCCCAGGTTCTCCACTGTGAATGAAGCTAGGTTTTAAGTCCAGTAATTGCTCTCTCAGTCATTTTTGTTTAAAGTCAGTACAGTGTCAGGGAAAATATTTAAAAGCCTATATAGTTTGGTGGTGGAGGCACCTGTAATCCCAGTATTCTGAGAGGCTGATGAAGGAGGATCACAAGTTTGAACCTAGTCTGGGCAACTCAATGAGAACCTGTGTTTAAAAGAAATAATAAAGGAGCAAGCATATAGCTCAGTGCAGACCCTGGATTTAATCCCGAGTACTCCACTCACCCCCACCCCACCAAGCAACAACAACAAAAGAAACTAGAAGAATTGTCCTCTCCTCCTTTCTACATTTTGGTCAGTTTATAAGTAGATACAAATTAAATGTTAAAATTAGGTTTGATATTCTCCTAATGGAGTGGACCTCATCTCTGTATAACGTTCTTTTATTTTTATACTGGGTCACTATTTAAGAATTTCATTTTAGTACTAGTTTCTGATAGGGAGTTTGAAAAGGGAAACAATTTTAATTGCTTTCTAGTTTCCTAAAAGGTTGAAAAATGCCAGAGAATGTAGAAAATTATGGTGCTCCAACAAATTGGTTCAGTCTTCTTATTTAAGGCCAACTGGGAATCCTTGAAATGTTATAGTGTCCATTCACTGGTCTATCAAAAAATAATTGTGTTTTTATAACCTGAAGGTCTATGTTTTTTAGATAAAAAGTTTCATTATCTTTAATTTTTGAGACTGGAGACTGAGTAACTAAGTAGCTAAACACCATTACTTATTGGATTAGGAATGAACCGGTAGCTGGGCATGGTGGTACATGCTTGTAGTCTCTGCACTCAGGAGGCTGAGGCAGGAGTATTGCCATGAGTTCAAAGCCAGCTTGGGCTACATAGTGAGTTCAAGGCCAGCCTGGACTACATAGTGAGACCCTTTCTAAAAAAAAAAAAAAAATATGAACTAAAGCAAAACCCCACCAACCAACCAAACAAAACCAAAAATAAAAAAGGAATTAACTAATTGCCCCTACCTCATTTCTGGAAGTATGTCCTTCTTTATCGAAGGATCCAGAATATATCTCCGGTATTACACTGGTAACTGCCTTTGAGATTTGGACACTTTGTTATAGAACATTTAGAATGAGAAAATAAAATTCCTGCCACTCAGATGCTTTAACTATACATAATCATGAAGAATCAAAATATCCACATCAATCATGAAGCCAGAATCTCTCATTTTCCATTTTCTGTTAGAACTCAGAAAAAGAAGGCAATAGATTGGACTTTCTGTGGCATTTACCAGGACCAGACTGGCCTTTGATCAGTTGGAAAACTTCAAAATGAAAGTGTAGCTAAAATGGGGAAGGTTCCAGTGTCATCTTCAGTTTAAAAGACTTTTTAAAGAACTCATTGGGAACCATGATACTGACACAGCGGGAAAACATCCAAGGCAAGATGTTTTCAGATTCTTTTGTAAGCTGTCTAAACACTTCTTCAATGACATTTTCTGTAACATGAGGTATTAGATCTTTCAAGTTTATGTATTGTTTCTTCTTATTTATTGACCCACTTCCAGAGACCCCCTCATGCCTGCCAGTCCAAAATCTAACAGTTTACTTGAGAGTCCACCTAAGTTCAGCCTCCTCCTCAAAACCCTCCTTGGCCTTTGCTCTTCCTCTAAAAATTTTTCCCCCAGCATGAATGGTCACCCTCATACAACCTAGTGCTAGTTACTGTGTCATTTTCATATTCTTTAATGGATGCTTCTTTTGTCTTCTCAACTAGGTTTTAAATTCCTAGAAAGTAGTGCTGCATCTTTTCTTCCTATGAAGAGTTTAATAAAATCCTTGCTGATAGGATATCATTTTATTGTGTTGTGGCAGTTTAAGTGGCCAACAGGTCAGAATGGGATGAGCTGCTCACTCTGGGTTGGCTCATCTGCTTGGGTGATGGCTTGAGGACCATTCGCCATGATGGGAGTCAGCCCTTCTGGGGCCTCTTTCTAGCTTCACCACTTACATGGCAGATGACAGGGGAAGCAGCGCTCCACCCCTTTCTCCCTTCTCCCACGTCCATCCCTTCACCCCTCTGTTAAATGAGGAGCTGTACCCGAAGAATCCCTTCCTCAGAGGGGAGCTGTGATAATTACAGCTTGTAAAGCATTTTGTGATTCTTAGGTATAAAAGGGATAATTATTGTGATCATTAATAATTCTTAATTTTTATCTTCTTCAAGGTAAATTATTCTTACTCTAATTACACCCCCACCCTGCTAGTAATTACACCTCTGAGAGTCAGCAGATGGTTTCATCTCACGTCATGCCACGCAGGGTGACTGGCACGGGTATCCAGGAAGAGGCTTCCACCTTGTGCCCCCTCCTGCTGTCACCTAGAGTGGCAGAGGGCTCCTGGCTTTCCATCATTCACCTGCTTCTAGATTTCAAGTCATTTCTTTTCTCAGATCTCTCGCTGCATTTTTGTCCTAACCAATGGCTCTCCAATTTGAAGAGCTTTGGGATGTCAGGAGACACTCTGAACGGGACAGGTGCATTTCATCTTTGTAGCTTGATGAATGCCATGACAGGAGGAGGCAGACACTTTTGAATAGGCGGTGGAGGCGTTGTGCTGTCTATGATCAAAATGTTCATGGCTGCTGTACGCAAGGGCCTCCACTCCTCAAGGGTACGTGTTGCGAGACATTCTCTGTTCTCGGTACAGCTGTCCCTCGGCATCTACAGGGAGTTGGTCTCAGAATCCCTAGAGTCTGAATCCCAAACTCTAAGACTGTTTCAGGCCTTTATAAAAAATGGCATAGTACAGTGTTCGCATATAACTTAGTCGCATCCTTCTGTGTGCTCTATCTCTAGCTTAGTTATAATATTTAATATAATATAAATATTATACAAACAGTTGTTATATGATATCATTTATAGTATAATGTGGTCTGGTGCCTTCTACCTTGCCTGGAATAGAATAAAGGGTTCAGTAATGCTTATGGTGTGGACCAAGAAAGACTTACTGAGGGAAGAACAGAGACCATTTTCCTTATCATTATAACCTAAACAATACAGTACAGTATTTTTTTTTGTTTTAAACCTTAAAACTCACTCATAATGGTTATACAGTAAGCATTCATATCAGCCTTTTAGCTGCTCTGTCAGGTGTGCAATTGGAACTTTCCAGGTAGTTTTCTTTGAGCTTTTCCTTATCTGCAGGTGCAGAGTGCTATGGGTGCTGAACTCAGTACCTAAATGGGCCAGCCTAGCCCTGGCTCTGCTGGCTGACTGCCAGCTCTGGGCAGAGGGTAAATTATTAAAGGCTTATCTATAAGTGTTTCCCAAATTACAAAAAAACTGCTTCCAGCAGCACAAAGGGGGCCTCTGAAGTGAACCATATCCTGTACGTATTACAAATGGGGAATAATTACAAGTTCTCCTAAGGCAGAAAGTCAGTTTTGCTGACATTAATGTAGTCCTTTTGCTCTGGACCACCATGTTTCAAAATCAGTTTTTGTAGTTTCTTTTGTAATGCTTTTTAAGGTTCAAAACTCTGAAAATCTTACACTACAATAATTTTTTTTTTTTTTTTTTTGGT